TAAATAGCGTTTGTAACCTTATATCAGTTCATATTAAACATTCAGTACTTGGCTGATCCTCTTCATACTCTAGCCTCTGCAGTGCAACGTGGCATGCTGTCGATGAGGTTATTGATGCAATCCACATGATTTAATCTCAACTTGTCACTAGAAAGCACTGCAACTCAGCTACTGTAACTGGTTTAGGGTCGTGGTTTAGAAATTTTCCGGCTCAGTTCTGCCCAACAGTTCTCAATGGGATTACAATCTGAAGACTTTGCTGGAAATGACAATTTTGTAACGTCCTCCTTGTCGAGATATTCCTGTAAAATACGCACACCGTGGGCATTGGCATTATCACCCTGGAACTCAAAGTTATTGCCGAACTTTTTCCTAGCATATGGCAAAAATATCGTCTCCATGTTATGTCTGTAGGAGGCGCCATTAAGGTTTCACTGGAGGATACAAAGAGCAGTTTTTCTACCATGATGAATAGCTGCCCAAGCATGTACTGCACCACATCCTGTGTGTTCCCTGTGGGAAAGACAGTCTCCCATCATCTGTTCTCCAGGTAAACGATTAACACGAATCCTACCATCAGCTTTAGCAAGCCGAAAAGAGGACTCATCTGAAAAGATGACATGTCGCCAGTGTCCGAACCGTAAGTTAGCATGCTGTCTTGCACGAGTAACACAGTGACGACGGTGAATTCTGGTCAATGTCAGTTTGCAGATAGCCTTTTTCTTGCAAAATATTATTGTTTGGTCAATCTCTTGTTCACTGTTCTTCTGTATGTCCTGAACCGAATGTGTTCATGCCATTGCTGTCGTATGGTGTTGCAAGACTTCTTTCGACCTTGACGTATTAACCTAGTCAAAACACTGTCATTTCGGGGCAGTGGTTTTTCGGCGTCTACCAGTAGATTTTCCTGAAACAACGTTTTATATAGTCTGATGACGTTTCAGGATTCTGGATACAGTACATTGTGTGTACCCTACTGTTCTGGCAATGTCTGTTCGCTTCATACCATTTTTGGACAGTCACAAAATTTGACGCCCACTAACTTCTGGCACGTGACGAAACATGACACCAAATACAGAGAAGTTTTCTGTACAAAGCGTTTATCTGTTTCGAAAAAGATGATACTCAAAGCACACCCTTTTATACAAAACAGGTGTGTGTGTGTGTTTTGACAAACAAATGATCAAAACAACTTATACCGACAAGAATAACAATTTGTAAATGTTTGTCCGATTATACGTTACATTCTCTGTTACTACTCAAGCACTTACTCAATAACTACACCATGAATGTAGACAATAACATCAATATAGAACAGTACGCAAACATTTTGATCAAGTCTATCGAAACAACAACAACAAAATCTATCTTGAGACCTAAGCTCGCAGAATTAGACGCTATAAGAATGTTTGTATGTGCTACGTGAGAGACGTTTTAAAAGTTTTATGCTAGGTTGAGCGCAAAGTGTAGAGAAGTATGATGACAGTTGGTGCCAAGGCAACTAGTCTGTTCTATGATTTTAAAACAATTTGCATGTTGGAGGAGGCGAAAGAAAATCAATGTATTCGATCAGATCACATCGTAGTATCATAGTAACAAGTATTATGTTATACATTTTTCACACCGTAGTATCATAGTAACAAATATTGTGTTATACATTTTCCACACCTTAGTATCA